ATATATATATATATATATATATATAAGCTACTTTAAAACTGTTTGAGGTAGAGAAATTCCGGTGCTCTTTGCCAGACGATGGTGGATGTTTTGCAAATGTTTGGGACCCGTGGTGCTCCCAACATGCATGTTTTCTTTGGCCCTCGGTGACATTTACATTGTGGCTGTCATAAATACAAGTTTTGTGCTTTCAGCTGTAGTGGCTGTTATGACATTTTTATTTTTTTTTCATGTTTTTTAGCCATGCTCTCACACGTATTTGTTTCTTTCCGTGCAGCAGTCATAACAGATTCAGCTGACGAGCCAGCTCTTTTTTACCCACAGGGTAGGAAATAAACACAGGCTTTGCCAGCGAGCCAGCAGTGTTTCCACCCAGTCTCTGTGATCACGCCTCAGTTTTTCCTCGTTAGGGAGTGTGTTCGGTTTGAAAGACTGCTTTACTGTCATTCTGGAAATTTCCCTTAAAAATGAAACAAGTTGTTTTAATGGGTGTTAAAAGTTACAATTTGTCTTTTGACTGTGGAGACATGTTTTTCTTTTTTGATGCTTGATCTCCAATTCAAGCAACCTATTAAAATGAGAACTTCTTATATGTTATTTAAGTAGAATTTTTTGTATTTAAACCAGCATTAAAACAAAAAAATATAACATTTGTGTTGAGTTTGTCTTGAACCGTTGAAAAAGTAAAATGCAGCCTTGTTCTTTTTATCCATTCACCACTTCTGAGAAATGTTTTCTATTTGTTTTCTGAACTAATGAATTACAAATATTTCTTTCTAGGCATGCTTTTTCTGTTGGGAACTTACCATCAAGATGTCATGAAAAAAAAACTTTACCAGCTGTCGTGACGATTTAGAAAATTACAAGAAAAGAAAAGGGGTCTAGCAGGAAATGAGTCATAGCTGTGCTTTAAAAAAAAACAAATACTTGACCTTTTGCCATTCACAGGGCAACCATTTGAGACAGTAGTTAAATATTTGACAGACTCTGCTTTTAAATTTAACTTACTGCAACAACACTATTGTGTCTGCATGAGCAAAAAAAAAAAAAAAAACCTCAAACGAGCCACTTGTAGCCGAACATTTATCCAGCCAAGCTGAAAACATTCTCTGTAAAATGTCCTGATGCATCTCAGTAATCCAGGTAAAAAATCAAAAAGAAAAAAATTGTTTAGGTCTTCTGGACGGGTTCAAAATCACACACATGACAGGCCCTGGAGCAGTGTGGTTATCCTGACTGGGCTTCCCTGAAAGCAGACAGGAAACACAGACAGGATTCCATGCAACCTTCAGGTGAAAAT